CATCAAAGAGGAAGTGGGAAATAGAAAAGAACAAGCAAGACAAATGAACCAAGAAAATTTGGGGATGAGAGAGGAGTGCTATACAAGAAAGAAGAAAATTCAAGAGGTATTGATTGATAAAATAGCAAAGCCATAATGAACAAACTCATTCTGTCCTAAGATGAAATTTCATAGCCCATTTCGTAGATGAATTTGATATGGTAAGATAAGTGAATCCCACGTGTTGGTTTATATTCCATAACTACAAATTGAAGATTTTTCCTTTCAGTACAGGTGAATATATATGATCGAATTTTGAATATCTTTTTTGCGTTTTTGGAGAGAGAACAAATGAAAATAAATAGCAAAGTGCCACAGTCTGGCACTGGTACATGCTTATTGAATTGTCTCATACAAGTTTTTATTTTATTACACAAAATGGGGGAATGGACCCAAATGGTTCACCTTTTTCTGAAGAAGGAAGGACCACTGTCTCCTTTTTAGTCAAACATTATCTCATCCATAAATAGCCTCCCTAGCAAGTTAGCCTCCCTAGTTTTTGTTTTGATTTATTTTTTTAAATTTTTTTATTTTTATTTTTTTACTTACAAATATATTTTAAATATTTTATTTTTCATTAAAATATTAACTCCATAAAGAAATCAAGGTTGATCTTCATCTACTTTGTGAACTCTGATTACTCCTTTTTTTTTTTATCTTCCTCTCTTTTTGGTTTTTTTTCTTTTCTATCTTATCCTTTGATCACACTTCCACAACTCATTTCTTCTTCCTCTCAAAATTTTGGACAAAAACACAATAGGTTTTAACATGTATTTTTCTTCTCTTTTTTTTTTTTTTTCTCTTTTTCCCCCTTATTCGCACTTTTACAATTTATTTTCTTTTATAAAATCTAATAAAACAGACATTTCGATAGGTACAATTTATCCCAACACTTCTCCTATATTGTTGCTTCAATTGTTAATTTCATAGTAAAGTTGGTATGTGAGATTGGTGATGAAACATGAGGTATACCTCTTGCAGAGGTATACTTCAATGTTCAATCAAGGTTTGTATCAACAGAGTAATAACAAAAAAATAAATCATATGCCGTAAAAAATATGTTGTTGGTTATATAATGCTTAAATGTAAGTAATGCTTAATCATAGTATAAGAATAGGTTCGTGTGATTTGTCAACACAACATAACAGTCAAAAATTGTAGTGTCCTTATGATTATAAGCATGACTTATGGTCATGACCTCCTATGATGAAATATACACACACACATAAATGTTTATTCTATCTCGAGTTGTTAATTAAACATAAAACAATCTTGAGAATTAGGCAAAAGTAAGGTAGCCTGTATAGAAGATAGTTGTATTTTAGTCAATATATTTTGTTGTTTGCGTATGTTAATTTCTTTAAAAAGTTTAACATATATATATATATATATATATATTAGTGTATCATATATGATACTCGTAGCCGTACACATCCTAAATTTATAATGGCTTTTGGTTTCTTTGATCTCAGGTACTGTATTTTATGGGTTTAAAAATGAAATAAATTTTAGATATTAAGATGGCGTTGAAGCACTATTAACAGTTATGAGAGTCAATCCACATGATGGTTCTTTTTTCGCATATATGTGATGTATGCTTTGGTACATTGCGCCCTCCTTAGCCTTTCATTACCTTTCTCTTTGTTACCATACAGGCCATAACGTTTATAAAGATTAGTTGCAACCAAAATTGAAAACCCTCATAAATTCTATGCCTTTCACAGGGAAAATGGTAGTGCTTCTTGGAGTGGTGACTCGTTTGATGTGGCCAATCACAGTGTAACCAAATTAACGCATCATGAACGAACTTTGAGCATATGGATGTGACTGTTTTACACAAGTTACGTTGAGGCTACTTATCCAAATTTTAATGTCCAGGAATTTGGTGAGGCGCTGGTGGGAGCAGAAGGAAAACAATTGGGTGGACAAATTAAATTAAATCTAAAGACAAGTGCCAAGCAAGACCCAGAAAAATGCAAAGCACCAAATTAACTTTCGGAAAATTGAGAAAATTTGGAGACAAACTTTAATAAAGTTTGACTAAGGCTAATTATTTTTAATATGAGATTACAGGCAAGGAATTACTAAAATATAATATTTCTTGACAAAAATATAAATAAGGTGCCTCAAATCTCACCTTTGGCATAATTCCATCTATATAAAATGCTAAAAGTTTATGTAGAGTGTGGTCCTCTGTGAACAGCGTTTATATAGAGAATTTCTGCAACACGGCATGTTCATGAACAATGCTCTTCTTGTTGCAAATCTTGCAAATGACAAAATTTCGTGGGAAGGAATCTCTAAAAATTGGATCCAAATCCCTTTCAATTTTGGCAAGAATTGGATATTTAGTTTCATTTTTGCTCAAGTAAAAATGGATTCACTTAAGAAAAAATATAGAAAATTACTGAATTTTTTTATGCAAAATTAACTTAAACAAAAATTTTTTCTTACAAATTCGCTTAAGCAAATTATTTTGTATTAAGCGAATTTTATGCATTTGAAGAGAGGGAGGCTGTGTATGAGAGGAGAGAAGACTGAAGATAGATGGAGATAAGATCAGTAGTGATATAGGGATGGTAGTGGAAAGGAGAGTAGAAAGTTGAGTACGGAAGAAAGAGAGAGAGATATGTATGAAATGGGGTAAGAGCAAGAAAAAGAAGAGAAAAAATGGACATAGAATGAAGGAAAGAGGAAGTTGGAAGATTTTTAAAATATAAAAATTTGTTTTCAAGTTATTAAGTTTTTTGTCAACCTTCAAATAAAAAATAAAAATTCAAAATTTTCTTTTTTTAAAATTATATTGCTTTAAAAATAAAATATGATTTGAGATCAAAGATTCTTTTGAGATCTCAAATCTTGTTTTTGCATAACAACTTATACTTAAGGCACATTTTTAAAAATTAAAAAAAATAAAAATAAGAAAATACAAAATAAATATTTAAAGTCAATATTTAAATTAGTCGCACTATTTAATCTTGAGGTACCGTTCATTTGAACATGTGATAGGGGTGCTAATTCCTTCTCTATTCATAACTAACTTCCGAATTCTCTTAAGAGTTTTTTTCTAATATTTTTCCCTTATACAAATAAAAAAATTTTGGTGGCGACTCTACATTTTTTAAATTAAAACCCTATTTTTCAAAGTCGCTATTTTTCACCCACCGAGCAACACTATACTTCTCTCAGTCCAAAATCTTAAGGTGTTCTACAACAAAGACTTGCGTGGATGAAAAAAACAAAGAAATTGAGACTGATATATGATAACTTAGTGACAATGTGGGATAAATGGTATTATCTTATGAGAAATATCAATTGATATCTATTATCTCTTAGTTGAGTATTAGGTGTGGTAAATAGTGTATGCAATAAATTGGCTATAGTTATTCTCACAAATAGAGCAACAAACCTCTAACCCTCAAGTAGCAACAATTTCCTATGGAGTAGTTATTTCCCATCCATCAATAGAGGATCCCACTACATTCACCACAACCAAATGAAGAGTTATACTAGTCTCCGTAAAGAGAGCAATGACAACCATTTGAGTAGGATGAACAATCATCACAACAAGTACCAACATGAATGTTCGTGGATAGAAGGCCGGCCTAGGAGTCATAGTGCAAGAAGTAAAGAAACACAAGAATGAAGGTTTGTTGATTGTAGTAGTGGTAGTGACATTTCTGTTAGATTATTGTACATCACTTTGTTATAGATGATGTTCAATCAGAAGACAAAATTCGTCATTGCCTCTTTGATATAAACAAAGAGACATTCAATAATGAAATGATCGTGCATCAAGGATTAATACAATCATGCCTTGTGATATGACCCAACAAGATAACACATTTGATATCTCTCTCTATGCAGTGAAACTCAACTCTACCAAAGATGAAGCTGCAAGAGATGAAGCTACAAAATAAGAAAAGGAGGATGATGGTGGCAAATGACAAAGTCACAAGAATTCTTTCACACATGTTACATAATACTTGTGACCCTATAGATATAATTTCTCACTAGCTAGTAAAAGAGAAAAGGGAAAAAAAGGTAATGATGTTAATATTTTTGTTATACTTGTTATATTTCAATTTATGAAATTGTTATATTTTAGTTTATCTACTTATTATATTTGTGATTATGTTGTTAATAACTCAAATAAATAAATAATCACAATTAAATAACAGAAATAAATTATAACATTACAATAAATAAAACAAATAGCACACCATAATTAAAAATAACTAAAACATACAGATGATTTTTGAAAACTTGCTAAAGAAATTTTTTTATTTTAAAAAGTCACTTTTTGTGGGTTAAATCTCACCATTTATGAAATTTAATAAATTTTCGTCATTTTTTTAGCTTAAATCTTGCTACTCATAAAATGTCATATTTTTAGTAAATTTAATTACAAAATCCCATATTTACAAAAATCTGCCTTGACCAGCTATATATTTCTTTTTATTCACAAGTTAATGAGACTTTTTCCCTTTCACATTCAAATTTCCATTGAGGTGTTGACCGATTTAAGCACTATGTTACATAGGTACATGAATTAGGCAATAGGTACGAAATGAGTATGTAGTATATGTACATGGTTGGGTAAGCATATGTAGTTTACAAAGATATTAATGTGTATATTTTAGCACTGCTGATGGGATCCAATTCTTCACTGGTGCTTTTATTGGCAGTTTGTCTTGTTTTCCAAGTGAATTGAGTGCATTCTGTAGCCTCAGTTCATTAGTCCTGTACAAATTTAGTTGAATAAGACCACACACCATAGTATAAGGATCATGTTAGCTTGTCATATCATGCTTACAGTTTCTACCATTAGGGTATTTATCACGGTTTAGACATGCTTGTCAGGGTTCTAGCTGGACTTGCCTGCAAGTTAATGATACTACAGCAATGCCATTACTGCTTTATTGGAAATCAATGCACCTTATGATCCCACGTGCCACATGTTCATCTGTCTTACATCTCCCATGCCCATCTCACATTCGTACTGACACAGACTGTATATGTAAAACCTCAGGCAAAAAAATTGTACCGGATTTCAGGAATGATTCAATAACAAGCTATAATTTGTATATATAGAAAAAAAAAAACAAAATATACATAAACTGTTATTTTTTCATGGGCATCATCACAATCAGTTTTTATTAATACCATAGTTCTATGAGTTTTGGAAACACAGTCGGCACCAATACAGAATAATCAAAAGGGAAAAGCTTAATTTGTTCCTCTCCCTTTTAAGCCTTCTCCTTCTTAGATGGAACTGTTCCATCTGTTCCTGCAAGCATTGCATACTTGTCCTTCCTTGTTAAATTGGTGCACTCAAATCCCAAAGTCCCTGCAAGGACCCTTTGAATGTAGTTTGCAACTTCAATTGCTGATTTTCCTCCATTGCAAGTGAGGTCTTTGGGAAGCTGGTTTAAGAAAGTGATCTCATATGTGGGCATGGGATTCATGAACACAAAGTAAGGGTCCAACAACTTGTGTCCTCGTACTGTTGTCCCATAAAACACACTTTGTTTTGTGTTGATAGCAACTGGGACAATCCTATCAGTTAGTTCAGCAAAAAGTGCACTGAACCTCAAGAGGAATGGTTCTCTACATGTTGTACCTTCAGGGCAAATAACCAAATCACCTTCTTCAAGCAATCTCTTGATATTGGCAGCATCTTTCTCTCTTTCCCTTGAGAGTGCCACAGCTTTAATTGGTGAAATTATTTCAGTGAATTTGCTTATACTATATGTGACACAACTAATTTTTCTTCCAAGTGCAACTGCTGTAACCACTGGGTCTAAAACTGTGCGGTGGTTACAAACAAAAAGGACTCCACTTTGACCTTTCTTTGGGGGTGGTGGAGGGGTACCTTTCACAGTGACTCTTATTCCAAGTAGCTTATAGTTGTACCATGCAATTCTTTCAGGCAAAGGGATGTTAAGGTAGACCCTCATGATAGATAGTATTATGCCAATTGGTAGCCATAGGAAGGTCAAGAGAGCAGCTAGAGGAGTTGGCCTCTGAGCAAACCTACCCTCATGAAAAATAATTGGGCTTAGAAGCTTGTTTCTTGGTAGTGGTTCACGTTTAGTCCTTGGCACCATATACCCTTCCTGCAGGAGGTAAAAAACAGTTGAGAGATACCCTTTGTGATTTGGTCAACAAAACAAGTTATTTGACACCCTTAGGAGTGTATACACACCTTGAGAGAGAAGAGAGAGATAAGACAAAAAAAGGGAGAGAAAAACTAAAGAAAAAGAATGGAGAAATGTGTAAAGTAAATGCAAAAATTGAGATGTGACAAATTACAACTGGATGGTTGATGTCGTATGTGTCCCACTAAAAGAAAGAGTGGACTCAAAGTATTTAAGTGAAGTCCGTATGAAATTCATCCAGTTGTAAATGATATGATAGAAAAAGTGTGTTGATGACATTGCTCTTTCATGCATATATTGAAAGTAATGGTGAGTAACGTTTTCATCGAGTTCATTTATCTTCTGTTGCCATAATTAAAACTTGTAATCTTTTTTTAATTAAGTTCTAATGGAGGTTCACTAACTAAATTGATATTGTTGTACCTACAAGATTTCATACTTGTTCTTAGCAAAAAATACTCGAGGGTTAAAATTATTCCCATGAAAAATTTATTGGAAAAAAGACCAGCAAGTACAATAGGAAAATTTGTTTAATTTAACACCTTAATTGTCATATCTTTTACATGAGCTATAACAACAGGGCTTTGATTTTGTGTTAAAAGTGGTTTGGGCATGAAAAATTCATGCAAGTCTATAGTCCTCAATTTGGAAATTGAATTTGTTTTATGCATGAAAAAAATAGGAAACATATAATTAATAGTGTTTAAAAGTAGTTATGGGTTATGACTCATGAGAGAATAACTAAGAACAGAAAAAACAGAGGCATGGACAGCTCAAAACTGAGGCTGTTATAAGGTGTATCCATAAATTGGCTATAGAAAACTGGGGACCACTTACACGTTGATTGGAGGTAGTAAATAAATGAAAAAAAAAGAGAAGAAATAAAACAAACAAGGAAAAGGGTTCACAAATGCCGCGAGAGATAAATACACGCAAACGGAACCAAAAGAGAGGCTCATTATAAGTGATAACAACATGTCGTGGTCATTAACGCTCTCACCAAACATAAATTCAATTATAGAAAAATTTCTGCCAATTTTCTTTATTTTATTGTAATTTCTTTTAAAAGAAAACTATTTTATCATTGTGATAAGAAAATGTTCACAAGCTAAACTGCCTCCCTCGTCCAGAATTAAAGTTGAAGATGAATATTGAAAACTACATTGAGTTACTATTTATGCAATCATGATTTCTTAAACTAACTAATAATACAAACATTAGTTAATATCTATTTTAAACATATACAGTGCGAGTTTAGAAACGTTCAGATTTAGAGAAAAAGGTCCTTATCTTTCGAAAGCATTCCTCACGAAACTAACAAATATAAACAATTATTTCTTCAAAATAAGCTGAATCAAACCATTTAATGCGAAGTTAGAAACATACAAGAACATAGGATTATACCAACCTTGCAAATGGACATGAAGTCATGATCACTTTCACTATCTCCAAGTCCCAAGTCAGGTAAATTAGACTGAAATTCCTTGACAAGAGCTTGTTTTTTGTGCTCACCAACAAGCACACCAGGTTCCTTAACAAACCCAGTTGCTCTACCTGACTTTGTTGTCTCCAGTTCAGTCCCAAGCACCATATCAGCCCCTAAGAAGGTCTTAACAAAAGGCTCAACCATCAACCTAGGACTAGCCGTGACAATGTAACGCTTCCCAAAAGAGTTGAACACTCTCCAACTTTCGGGGTGCACATCCTCGGCATAGAATTTCGGCAACACGGACCTTGCCACCATTTCAATGTCTCTGATCTTCAAGCCTGCGAAGGTCACGAAGATCAGAGACTTGATGGCAAGAGTTTCAGAAATGAAAATGTATGTGAAGTATACAAAAGGGACAGATGCTAAGAGGACAAGTCCTCTTAGGAAGCTACCAGCTTCAATGGCAACAAGCATGTAATAAGGAAAAGCGTTTGGAGACACTAAGAGGGTGCCATCCAAGTCTGAGGCCACGGTTTGGTTTGATCTTTGTTCTGTGGTGCATTTTGAGATTGGTTGGAAGTGGCGAAAAGCTCCCATGATTGTGGTGTAGAGAGGGTGTGAGAGAAGGGTTTAGGAAAAAATAGAGAGTGAGGTTTGGTTGGTGGTGTGGTGTGGTGGGGAAGATGGGAGAGATAGCCAGCTTGGAAATGTTATGAGGAGAGAGTGAGGGAGAAGAGGGGGTTTTAAAAGGAGAGGGAGTGAAGATATGGTGATGTTGTTGAACCATTTTTTAGCATGATTTATAATCATTATAATATGTGGGAGTGCTAAAGTCATTTTACTCTTAATTATACAGTTAAATGAAGAAGGGAGTTAAGGCTTCTATCTCCACTTTCTCTCTCTATTATTTTTATAGAAATTAATTGGTGTTGTGAAAGTAATGTGTTTAAGTTAAAGAATGTAATTTTTTTCTTCTTATAAGCAGTTGTTGATCATGTTCTAGATATGATTAGACACTACATGCAAATATTTTTGAATTGTAATTCGATACTTTATAAAAAAAATAGTTATTTTTATTAGATCTAATCTTCATTAGTTTAGAAATTAAATTTTATGAAAAAACTATGCAAGGAGGGAATATTTACTTTTCCGTCACAAATTAAGCGTTATATTATATTCGTATCACTCTTTTGTTAATTAACATTTACTGTAAATTTTTTTCATTTATTTTATTTTATTCTTTATACAATTACATTTATCACTTCTGTTAATTCCATTTTTATAGAAAACGTTGTATATAAATATTATACAAATAACATCTCTTCTGTGGGAAGTGGACTGGACTGACAATTATTAAGAGAAATTTGAATTATTACAATATTTAAGAGATTAGTTTGGCAATAAGAATGAAAATGCGGAAGAATAAAATAAAATTGGGGTGTATTAGAATCAATAATAAGTACTCCAGCAACAGCTGTTTGGAATAGACATATATAGTGCAAAAATTTGCAAAGGGGTGGTTCAAGTAATGAATGATAACTAAGTAATTAATCATGCATTTAAAAGTTGTTGAAAATTATGAAAAAGGAAAATCATAAAGTATAAAAGAAACATCGGTATCTCGAAGTTGGGAAATAGTATTAAATAAAAAGGATTAGTGAAAATGAGGAGATGATTAATGTTGTGATTAGATAAATGATGATTAATGATAAGTAAGATATGAAGTAATAACGTGATTTTATGGAGAAAGAAGTGGGAAGAATGTCTGGTGAGTTGAAGGAAAGGTTAAGAGAGAGTTGTATTTAGTGGTTATGAGGAGGCGTCGGAGTAGTTGCAAGTCCATACCAACGCTTTCCTTACATTCAATTAGCCTACTTTTTAGTTTATTCACGCCGCCTTTGAGCCCTCTTCAAATCGGCTACCATCGGCTTCAACTCTTTCATTTCGCCAAACACCAAACATTAATTTAGATCATTGCCCTTTTCCTTTGGTCCACTTTTATTTTCAAGCATTTATCGCTCATGTTTTACGCTTTTATTCTATTGGCTAATTTAGAATATAAAGCTAATCTAATCTATCCTTTGCAAAATTCATATTTCATATTTCATACTCTATCGCTACATTAGTTAAAATTCTCTCTCTCTCTTTTTGTAGTTTCACACACATTCTACGATTAACAGTTAACTACAGATTGCACTTTGCTGTGTTTTTTTTATTGACTCAATCTGTACTGATACTGGATACTTAAGAGCTATATATTATGTTATTTTAATTTTTTATCCATAAAATTTTATTACCCACGGGTGAGCATAAATTAGATTTACACCAAATTAATTTAGATTTATTTTAAATTTTATCATATGAATTAGATTTTAAATTAATCTATTTTATTTTTAAAAAAATTAATTTAAAATTAGTTTTAAATTTTGAATTTAGTAATTTTAAATCCAGTAAAATATATTATAAATATTTTATTATTATTATTAGATTATTATATTAAAAAATAATTAAATTTTATAACAATTATAAAATTATATTTGTATATACTTTAATCAGTTAATTATATAATTTTTTATATTTATATTGTATTAAAAATTAAATTCACAATTTTTACTTTACATCATCTATTTATTATACAAATTACTTATCTTGATTATATTTTAAATTATTTTATTTTATTTTTTAAAAATTGATTTAAAACTTAGGTTTAGTTTAAAATTGATTTTTATTGAAACCAATTTTAAATCTAATGCTTTACATTAAGTTAGTTTTCAATCTAGTTTTTTGTTAAATTAATTTTAAATTCAGTTTCAAATTTAATTTTTATAGAAAAATAATTTTTATACATTTATAAATTTAGTTTATAAGGTAAAATTAATTTATTTTATTGTATCATTACATTAAATTAGTATATTTTAAAAAATTAGTAATATTTATTAATTATATTATACTTTATAAAACTTTTATAAAATATTATTATTTTTTTAAATTAATTTTTAATAAATAGAGTTGATTATGAAAATTAAAATTAAAATCTATAAAAATAAATATTAATAGTATTAAATAATAATATAAATATTATGTTATAATATTTTAAAAAATTATAAGATTTAAATATAAAAATAGTAATTGTAATTAATTTAAAAGTATTTATTATATTTTTTGTTTTTAATATAATAACTATATTCTAAATATTTAATTTTAAAATTAAAATTAATAAAAACATTAATCGTGAAACATAGTCATAAAAAATATCATTAAATTTTACAGTGTATTATTTTATAGAAAAATAGATACTTTTTGTTAACTTAAAAAAAAAAAAATCAGCATGTATCCTATATATGTTGCTCAAGAGGAATGCTAATAAGGTACATAATATTTTGAACATAAAATTCAGCATATTTTTTTATGATTGATCAAATTTTTAAAAGATTAAAATAAATTATGAAAGGTAATTTAACAAAATGTGCATTTAAACATTCTAAAAATTTATCCAAACGCACGAAATATAGTAAAGAATATATTTTAAAAAAATCGTATTACTAAGTATTTTTCAAAACTGTCCACATCGATAATTCCATCCACTCTTGGCCCCTACAAAAATCATCATCAAAGCTTCGAACAACCACTCCCATGCACCCCTCACAGCTAACACCTAGTAACAAAGCAGCGTAAAGTGGATTGTATGGAGAAAGGGAGTGCATTATTTGCTATCTTATACCCCCAAATCTGCCACTTCTCTCTCTCTCTCTACAGGCATCCCAAAAATCTGCATTCAAGCCAAATAATGATACCTTGCACCAAAAAAGAGTTGAAGATTGAAGTATTATCACATGCATGCACATTTGTATTATCTTGCGTTTGTATAGATTTTTTTATGAAAAATAAAAATTTTAATATTGATATTATAAATTTGTACTAGCATTTTTATACATTATACTTATAAATAATTTTATTAGTATAGAATATTAATTTATAACATCAATATGTAAACATTAGTATAAGATATTATTGTTAGCATAAGTCTTTAACTTATTCACTAACAATTTAATTTTTTTAAAGACAAAGTCTAAATTAATAAAGGTTATCCCAACACTTGATAATTTTGTGTATATTAATAAACCGCAGCAATTTTCTTAGTGAATACATTTTCTGTTCGAATCCATTGATATATTTTGATAGTCTCTTAATCAATTGTTAATTTGAACAGCTGAAGAGAACATATAGATAAGGAAAGGAAATTTTATGCAAAAATTGAAATGGTGTAAGCCATACTTGATTATTTAGTAACCCGGGCTTGCAGGAATGCGTTAAAGTTTTACAAGTAAAATTTGACACCCCCTAGATTGAAGTTTAAAAGTGGACTTCTCTTAATAAACTTTTCATCCAAAAGAACAACCCATTTGAAGCGTATCTTTCACTCAGCAATATATATAGCCACTCTAAAGCACCTTCCCAAGATGCCACCTTGTTCAAATCAATTGAATTCCACAGTAAAGTATATTAGTACATCTAAACAAATACGAAAGAATAAAGATAAAATAGAGATTATGTATACTAATATTGCATGGAGATTGTGTATACTAATATTGCACCTTAAATGCACACGTTCAACGTCTTGATAATCATTCATAATTTCTTGTATCCATATTTTTGTAACACGCAGCATAGCATAAGTAACAATTGTACCTAATTTTTCAGTGTGTGGTCATTTGGCACAAAATTACTTTTTTTGTTAATCAAAAAATTAAAAAGGTTAGGGTTTACAATTGTTTTTATCTAAAAATTGTAATTGAGGAGGATTGTAACTTTATGTAATAAAAAATTATAAAATAATAAATTATATGAAGAATTTTTTAATATAAGTAAGAGATATTGAATCACATTAAATTTATGTTTTTATTTCTTCTTTTCTTTTGTTTCTTTCATGCTATGTGAGTGCTGCTAGGAGATAGAGAATGGAAGATGACTTCTTTCTTTCACTCCAACAATGATGTCAAAGTGATACAATTAAAGAAATAATAGAAAACTTATATTCAAATTAAAAGAGATACAATTAAAGAAAACTTAATCATTTTATAAGTTAAAGAAAAATTCTATCAATTGATGGATTATACAACAAGTGATAAAGCTTTTAAGTCTTCTTAGAAAAATAACTTAAATAGAACTAAAAATATTCAAATTAAAAGAGAAAATTAAAATTTTTAAAGTCTGCTCTTAAATTCTAAAAATTAGGACAAGATTAAAATGAATAATGAAAATATAGCAAGAATAAGAAGAAAACAGAGTTGTAAATAAAATAAGATCATATTATATTACTACAAAATTTATATTTGAGTGTTTGAAAAATGAGAAAAAAGCAATTTAAATACAAGAACAATCTATAAATGTATTATAAAACTAAAATACGATTTGAACTAATTGAAACGAAAATTTGATATTAAGAAAAATATTGACATAATCATAAATCTTAGGTTGAATTTTGAATTCCTTCTGTTAATATAAATATAATAAGTAAGAACAAAATATCGATGTCACAAACTTATTTAGTTGATATTCATAAATTTATTATTATAAAAATTAAAATTCTTAATAAGACCTTACTAGAATTCTATCTTTTGAGAGAAAAATTACAATTTTATAATATTCAATTTGAATTATTTTTTTTTCATTAGATATTGATATTTTTAGCACAATAAAAAAAATTATTTAATTTAAAATCAAATAGAAAAGAAATAAAAACTTCTTTTA